TTTTTATATCAGCTAATATAGAGTAGATATCTTGTGCACTCTTAACAGCTTTTTTATTTATTTCAATTACTATATCTCCAGGTTTAAGTCCTCCACTAAAATTAAATAAGATAAATGAATACAGAAATTGTAAATCTTTTTATTTAAAGCAATCGCCAGCACTGCTTTGATTAAAAAGATTTGAAAACAAAAAAAGGTAAAAGAATAGTATAAAAAATATAATCAAGTAAAATTATGTTAGACCTATAAGCTGGTGATCCGAGAATAACTTTCCAAACTAAAACACCATAACGCACGTCAGGGGAGATCTTTTGATTCCTCAGTTGCATTTCCGTTAATATTTCTGGAGTCAAGGTCAACATTGTAATTCCCATGTATTTCTTTTTGTTTCCTAATATTTTTGGTGTATCTTGGGTTTTCATTAGAAATTTTTTTACATAGTCTACAAAAGATTTTCTATTGTATTATATAGGGTGGCGCCAGGGAGTCTATGCTACATTGGGCAAGAAACTCTGCTCCTGACCACCCATTGAAGTAACTTATCGATGCTTGCTATTTAAAAAAAATTACCAATTGGGATTGCAAATGATATTCCTGCTGTAACTTTCATACTGTTTATTCCAATGGCTTCACCGTCTAAATTAACTAGAGGCCCCCCCGAGTTGCCAAAAGTAATAGCAGCATCTGTTTGAATGTATTCCATATTCTTACCATGAAGTCCCAATTCTTGTGAAGCACGATTAGGAGAGCTCACCTGAAAATCTATTTCTTATATATATAAGCAATTTAAGATTACATTTTCAACTTTAAGGAGAAACTAGAATTAAGTAAGATTAAAATATGTCTATAATGACTAAGGAAACAGTAATTAAAAGTTCTGCATTTTACTTTACTGAATAAAGTAATAATAAATATCGTGAAATTTAAAATTTGTTTCGAGTTCCTTTTTAAAAAAATTATTACAAACGAATTAATTAAAAAAAATTAGGTACCTACGTGAAACAATTTTCTTTTGTGGTAATTTTTATATTCGCTTCAGAATAGTCTTATGAAATTTTCTAATATTGATTACATATTTTACAATTATTGTAATTAAATATCATCTAATTTGATAATTTATTTTAGAATTATATTACTTACAATATTGTTAAACACATTTATCATCAGTTGAAAGATCAAAAAATATAATTAAATAATAAATATGTAGGTAATATTTGTAAAATTTAATGCTTAATCCTTAGAATTACTTTACTTCTAATTCCTCCAAAAGACAATAAAAATCTTCTCATTTTAACTTACCACACCTGAAGTGACAGTATTGCTAAGAGACAATGGACTTCCTATAGCAACAACAAATTCACCTGGCCTCAATTCAGATGAATTGCCCAGTTTCATTGTAGGTAAACTTTTAGCATTAATTCTAACTGTTGCTAAATCACTTTGAATATCGATATCTTCAACAACACCTTTATATATCATTCCATTATGTAAACGTACTTCAACAATAGAATGGGGCCTACTAGCAACCACATGGGCATTTGTTAAAATTAAACCGTCTTCTTTTACAATAAATCCTGATCCATTAGAAACTGTCGAAGGTCTACCTGTGAAAAAATCGAGTCTCCTGCTGTCTTTGATTTCAATGTAGACTACAGCAGGAGCAGATTTTTCAACTACATCTGCTATAAAATTATATTGTGACCTTCTTCCATGCAGTCCATCTAGTATACTCGCTGCTTTTACTTGAGGCAACAATTTTTGACGATTGAACAGTGTATAAC